AACAACACATTTAACAACACATTTAACAACACATTTAATAACACATTTAACAACACATTTAATAACACATTTAACAACACATTTAACAACACATTTACAACAACACATTTAACAACACATTTACAACAACACATTTAACAACACATTTAACAACAACACATTTAACAACACATTTAACAACAACACATTTAACAACAACACATTTAACAACAACACATTCAACACCACATTTAACAACAATACATTTAACAACACATTTAACAACACATTTAACAACAACACATTTAACAACAACACATTTAACAACAACACATTTAACAACAACACATTTAACAACACATTTAACAACAACACATTTAACAACAACACATTTAACAACAACACATTCAACAACACATTTAACAACACATTTAACAACAACACATTTAACAACACATTTAACAACAACACATTTAACAACACATTTAACAACAACACATTTAACAACAACACATTTAACAACACATTTAACAACAACACATTTAACAACAACACATTTAACAACACATTTAACAACACATTTAACAACAACACATTTAACAACACATTTAACAACAACACATTTAACAACACATTTAACAACAACACATTTAACAACACATTTAACAACACATTTAACAACAACACATTTAACAACAACACATTTAACAACAACACATTTAACAACAACACATTTAACAACAACACATTTAACAACAACACATTTAACAACACATTTAACAGCAACACATTTAATAACACATTTAACAACACATTTAACAACACATTTAACAACACATTTAACAACACATTTAACAACACATTTAATAACACATTTAACAACACATTTAACAACACATTTACAACAACACATTTAACAACACATTTACAACAACACATTTAACAACACATTTAACAACAACACATTTAACAACACATTTAACAACAACACATTTAACAACAACACATTTAACAACAACACATTCAACAACACATTTAACAACAACACATTTAACAACAACACATTTAACAACACATTTAACAGCAACACATTTAATAACACATTTAACAACACATTTAACAACACATTTAACAACACATTTAATAACACATTTAACAACACATTTAATAACACATTTAACAACACATTTAACAACACATTTACAACAACACATTTAACAACACATTTACAACAACACATTTAACAACACATTTAACAACAACACATTTAACAACACATTTAACAACAACACATTTAACAACAACACATTTAACAACAACACATTCAACACCACATTTAACAACAATACATTTAACAACACATTTAACAACACATTTAACAACAACACATTTAACAACAACACATTTAACAACAACACATTTAACAACAACACATTTAACAACACATTTAACAACAACACATTTAACAACAACACATTTAACAACAACACATTCAACAACACATTTAACAACACATTTAACAACAACACATTTAACAACACATTTAACAACAACACATTTAACAACACATTTAACAACAACACATTTAACAACAACACATTTAACAACACATTTAACAACAACACATTTAACAACAACACATTTAACAACACATTTAACAACACATTTAACAACAACACATTTAACAACACATTTAACAACAACACATTTAACAACACATTTAACAACAACACATTTAACAACACATTTAACAACACATTTAACAACAACACATTTAACAACAACACATTTAACAACAACACATTTAACAACAACACATTTAACAACACATTTAACAACAACACATTTAACAACACATTTAACAACAACACATTCAACAACAACACATTTAACAACAACACATTCAACAACACATTTAACAACAACACATTCAACAACACATTTAACAACACATTTAACAACAACACATTTAACAACAACACATTCAACAACACATTCAACAACACATTTAACAACAACACATTCAACAACACATTTAACAACACATTTAACAACAACACATTTAACAACAACACATTTAACAACAACACATTTAACAACAACACATTTAACAACAACACATTTAACAACAACACATTTAACAACAACACATTTAACAGCAACACATTTAACAACAACACATTTAACAACAACACATTTAACAACAACACATTTAACAACAACACATTTAACAACAACACATTTAACAGCAACACATTTAACAACAACACATTTAACAACAACACATTTAACAACACATTTAACAACAACACATTTAACAACAACACATTTAACAACAACACATTTAACAACACATTTAACAACAACACATTTAACAACAACACATTTAACAACAACACATTTAACAACACATTTAACAACACATTTAACAACACCCCATTTAACAACAACACATTTAACAACAAACAACCCATTTAACAACACATTTAACAACAACACATAACCCAACACACACATTTACAACACATTAACACAACACATTTAACAACAACACATTTAACAACAACACATTTAACAACAACACATTACAACACAACAACACATTAACAACACATTAACAACAAACAACCATTTAACACAACACATTACCAACAACACACCACATTAACAACAACACATTAACAACCACACATTAACAACAACACATTTAACAACAACACATTAACAACAACACATTTAACAAACACATTTAACAACAACACATTTAACAACACAATTTAACAACACACATTAACAACACAATTAACAACAACACATTAAACAACACATTTAACAACAACAACACTTTTAACACAACACATTTAACAACACATTTAACAACCCACAACACACATTTAACAACCAACACCATTTACAACCACACACATTTAACAACAACCATTAACAACACATTAACACACACATTAACACACATTTAACAACACATTAACACCACCAAACACCATTTAAACAACCATACACACATTTAACAACACATTAACAACACATTACAACAACACATTTACACATACAACACATTAACAACACACAACAACACATTAACACACATTAACAACACAACAAAACACATAACACACACACAACACACATTAACACACATTAACAACACATTTAACAACAACACATTTAACAACACATTTAACAACAACACATTCAACAACACATTAACAACACATTTAACAACCTACCAAAACACCATTTACACACAACAACAACACCCATTAACAACAACACATTTAACAACAACACATTAACAACACAACATTAACACCAACACATTAACACCAAACACATAACACCAAAACACACTTTACAACAACACATTACCAACAACACATTCACAACCATTAACAACACACATTACAACAACACATTACAACACCATTACACAACACATTCAACAACACATTTAACAACACACATTAACAAACACACATTTAACAACAACACATTTACACAACACAATTAACAACAACACATTTAAAAACAAACATTAACAACAACACATTTACACAACACATTTAACAACACATTTAACAACACATTTAACAACACATTAACAACACATTTAACAACAACACATTTACAACAACACATTTAACAACACATTTAACAACAACACATTTAACAACAACACATTTAACAACACATTTAACAACACATTTAACAACAACACATTTAACAACAACACATTTAACAACAACACATTTAACAACAACACATTTAACAACAACACATTCAACAACACATTTAACAACACATTTAACAACAACACATTTACAACACATTTAACAACAACACATTTAACAACAACACATTTAACAACACATTTAACAACAACACATTTAACAACACATTTAACAACAACACATTTAACAACACATTTAACAACAACACATTTAACAACAACACATTTAACAACAACACATTTAACAACACATTTAACAACACATTTAACAACAACACATTTAACAACACATTTAACAACACATTTAACAACAACACATTTAACAACAACACATTTAACAACAACACATTTAACAACAACACATTTAACAACAACACATTCAACAACACATTTAACAACACATTTAACAACAACACATTTAACAACACATTTAACAACACATTTAACAACAACACATTTACAACAACACATTTAACAACACATTTAACAACAACACATTTACAACAACACATTTAACAACAACACATTTAACAACACATTTAACAACACATTTAACAACACATTTAACAACACATTTAACAACACATTTAACAACAACACATTTAACAACACATTTAACAACAACACATTTACAACAACACATTTAACAACAACACATTTAACAACACATTTAACAACACATTTAACAACAACACATTTAACAACAACACATTCAACAACACATTTAACAACACATTTAACAACAACACATTTAACAACACATTTAACAACACATTTAACAACAACACATTTAACAACACATTTAACAACACATTTAACAACAACACATTTAACAACACATTTAACAACACATTTAACAACACACTTAATCATATAATATAATATAATATCTCTTCTGTCTCCAGGGTTCCTCATAGTTGCAGTGTTGCCAGTGTTGACGACAGTGACGAGATATAATTGGGACTCAGTATGTGGTCAGCAAATGGGCTGTGAGTGTTTGATGAATCATGATCCTGTCACTCATATAAACACAAATAACATCATAATGTGATCAGTATATAATTCATAAACGCTTGTCATTATGAATGTCTTGTCTGTGCAGATTTAGGATTAAATGCGAGTAGAAATACAGAATAATAATCTGTGTTCAGTCAGTTTGAGCATTTATGAATGTTTATAATGTTTAATGAATGATCTTGATGTGTTCTTCAGTCGGTGTCACACACAGACACACAGTTGTTAAGCTCATATTAATCATGTGTTTCAGGTTCACCGTCGGTCCGGAGATCAGTGTATGTAATGCTCATGTTAGTGGTCAATGTTGTGCTGGTGTATTTCTACAGCACAGCTCTGGAGAACGAGAAGGGTATGATCATATACATGTGTATTTCTGAAACATCTTCCTGCTGTATTATGCTGAAGTGTGTGTGTGTGTGTGTGTGTGTGTGTGTGTGTGTGTGTGTGTGTGTGTGTGTGTGTGTGTGTGTGTGTGTGTGTGTGTGTGTGTGTGTGTTGATGAACACTGTTAGTGATGAAGCTGATGTGTGTGTGTGTGTGTGTGTGTGTGTGTGTGTGTGTGTGTGTGTGTGTGTGTGTGTGTGTTGATGAACACTGTTAGTGATGAAGCTGATGTGTGTGTGTGTGTGTGTGTGTGTGTGTGTTGATGAACACTGTTAGTGATGAAGCTGATGTGTGTGTGTGTGTGTGTGTGTGTGTTGATGAACACT